TATATATATATATTTTAGTAAGTAAGGATATGAAATTCAGGATTTGTGGGTTTTATTGGTTTTAAAGGAAACTTGCAATACTCTGTCTCCTAAACGGTATCCATTAAGGCTGGCAATCGCCATGGCAGCTTCGTCGTAGTTGGTCATGGTGACAAAGCCAAATCCCTTGCACTTGTTGGTGTTGAAATCACGGATCACCTTGACATTATTGACTGCTCCAAAGGGACCAAACAACTGCCACAGCACGCTCTCATCTGAGTCGGGAGACAAGTTGTAGACGAAGATGCACCATCCAGTCCCAGTGTGACCAGGGATATTCATTCCGACAAGGCTCGTCATACCATCAATTGTGATTGGAGAAAACCTACCAAGTAAAAAGAGGGGTCTATTCTAAATATATCTCTTGGCACAAGCTACATGGAACCAAGACTTTAAAATAAATAAGCCAATGTTAATGAAGGTTCTTGATCCTATCCCTGGGAGATGACTACGTAGGCACCCTTGGTCTCCAACTCCTACTTAAGTGGAGGGGAGCCGTACTAAACAAACAGACCAAACTTGGGCATAAATGCATCTCCCTTCAAGGATAAGCCCTACTTAGATGTATACAAAGAGCTAATCAAAGAAATGCTTAAGGACAATCTAAGTCAAAAAGGGCCTGCACATGCTGGTATAGACACAAGTTCATTTAAAAAGGCCTGTAGGAATTTGCCACTTATTCCCATCACTAACTAAAATAATATAGTTTCAGGGTAATGGAGATCTAATGCTTTAGACCTCTTACTAGTTTGCAATGAAAAAACCCAAACTTCAAGACTTATTTTAGAGATACATATGAAATGCCATTGTCAGGATTCAGCTGTAACAGTAGCTTCTTTAGCTAAAGATACTATTAGATGTAGAGAAACGTCTCTAAGTGGTAGATTTTAATTCTCCTCCTAACGTAGTCCTTAATTGAAAACTGGGAAAAAAATCCAGTTAATAAAGAAGTCCTAAAGCTGGCCGCATATTAAAGAAGATTTATGCAGCAATTGTAGAGTAAGTAACACAGTGCATAAATATAGTTAATGATGTCAACTAATACCTTCATACTGTGAGACTTCACGTCCACAACAAGCTCTTAGGTTCTTCGGATAGTCAATGCAGAGAGACAAGCTCCTAGAAATCTAACGTAGCACCCTAGCTTTTCTCCCCCTCGTTGTCTTTTGGGACCCATTTTCTTCAGCATGAACATCTGAATTGGGAAGCTAAAGCCAGGTAGTACACGTATGAACACAGAACCATCACAGAATGACATAGGCTGGGCAGGACCTATGGAGGTCATCTGATCAACCTCCTGCTCGAAGCAAGGCTACCTTCTCAAATTAGATTTGCTGCTCATGGCCTTGCAGATGGAAGTTTTGAAAGTCTTCAGTGACAGGAACTCCACTCCTGCAGCCCCTGCTCCAGGGCTCCACCATCCTCACAGTGAATGGTTTTCCCTTACACTTCGTTGAATTGCCCCTGCTGCAACCTGTTACTGTTGACTCTCATCCTTCTGCAGTTGACCTCTGAAAAGAGCTCAGCTTCATCTTCTGTCTAATGCCCCTTGTAGGGAGCTGAAGACAGCAGTCAGGGGCTTAACTCTACATTTCCCTTTCCTGAATTTCAGTACGTTCCTCCAGCTTGTCAAGGTCTCCCCAGCGGCAGCCATGGCCAACAGCACAGTGACTGTCCCTGCTCCCTCACCAATTTAGTGTCACCCATTAATGCAAAAAGGGTGCACCGCAGCCTGTGACTCAGGTTATTAGTGAAGATGTTAAGCAGTATCAGCCCTCAGGATCAACATAATTTTCCTTTCATCAGTTTGAAAAAAGTGACATGCTTTCTGAAGCTACACTTTGGGATATGTTTTAAAATACTAACTGCACAGAGGAAAACGTCTTAATAAAAATCCAGTTTCACATGTACCTTCAATATGATGAGTTTTAATACCAGAACTGAGTAATAATTCCTCAGGATTTTGAGTGATGACTGAGGGAGCGGAGGCAGGGGAACTCACTGTTGCCGAGTGAGCTCTTGTGCTCTCCAAAACTTCTCCTTTTACACTTGTAGTATTTTCACACACATTTAGCTATCTGCACAATATTATGCCACGTATATTAAATAACCACAGAAGAAACTACACACTTGATGGCTGCTCACCATTCTGTTGACTCCTGATGGCACTTTATATGTATATTGAAGGAAAAAAAAAGCATCTGGAATGTACATCTAAGCTGGGGAACACCACTGGGGTGTAGCTACACTACAAATGTGCAGTTCACAAATGCTCACAGCACTGGATCCTCAAGACATACAGGCTTGCAGACACTTCATTAAAAATATGTGGCAATTTTCCAACTGAACTTTAGGATTCGCAAATCCTCCTCTCAACATCTTTTAGTTTCTCTCCTACATACTGAAACTAGTAGCATTGTCTTAATAGCTCAGCATGGCTCTAACCCACGGTATTTCCCCAGCTGCTGAAAACACAGACAGCTGGACAAGGCCAATTTATACTGCTCCTTCCACCTGACGTGGAATTGTAAATAAGACGGGCAGGACTGAGAGCTTGTACGAACCAACACCTTCAACTTCTTTTGAAATTTGGAAGATGAACTTTAAGCCCATTGCTGACAAGCGCCAACTATGCTAGTAACATACCTGCGCCACCAAACACTCCTTTTCTGTAATGTTTATGTTAAATTTAAGTACAACACTAATGTATACAATACCCTGTAAGTGATGCTATTGTGAAATCTCCACAACACAAAGCTGTGCACGTCACACAGTACATTACAAATGCAAAACTTTGTAAGGAATGCTGCAATGATATAAAGGGTTAAAGTTTCATACAGTTCACTAGAGTAGCTTTTCCCTGGAAACCTTAAGGAGCTACGCAGCTTTAAACTATTTATCTACCACGAGCACGGGAGCTGCTGTAAATCCAAGAAAACAGGCATGAAACTAGTGCAAGCGTATTGACACAAATACAAGAGAACTATTGCGTAAGTAGCTTTGCTACTAGCAACTGATCTGAAATTAGCATCAATAAAACCTTTGTTTCACATCAGCACATCTCATTTTCCACCAGTACCACATACTTAACACAGGGAAAGAAAGAACCAACCCTCAAACCCAGGAATGCTACACGACATATGTTTCAGATTCAGTTTCAGAAATTTTTACCTATATGCTATTATTTTGTGACCCTGTATACCTGTAAATAGAGAGTTTGCTACTGCAAGTACAAGTTTCAAGATTTGCTGGGAGGAGATAAGAACTAATTTAAGATGTCTACAAAACAACTTAAAAACACTGCTGCGATTTAAAACTAGCATTGCAGACTGAATATTCAAGAAGGCAGATGCATAACCTATAAAGGCAGGTAACTCACTCCATTGTAGCTCATATGAAATCAGAATTCAAACCCTCACTAGGTCAGACTGAGTCCTGTTTGTTTTGCACCCAATGCCAGTGCAATTCCAGGGAAGCAGCAGCAAAAAACCCAGGGAAAATTCCCAGAACAAACCTACCCTTCTGACACTGACTCGTACCTGACAGATACTTGAGGATGAGAGTTTTGCATGTTTTTGGCAACATATCAAGAAACAAATGAGACAGGAGAATGCAGGAGAAGTGGTGTGTGATAAAATCAGGTGTAAGTTCTGACTCACAGTATCACCATCACCACTAATGATACTGCAGTCGTAACAAACATACTAAGGAAGACCAGAAGCAGTGCTTCTGGGAAGATATGCTGCCCCTGTTCTGACTATTGCTTTTGTAAGTAGTCTTAAGATCTGTGATTTGGATGACAGCCACTGTGGCAGTACTTAAAACCCATGTTACTGTCCACTACTAGCTAGTGTAAAGATATACTTACCATACCATTTTACAGGATGAACTTTAAAAAAAAAAGCTCAAATAATTTTCAAGTGTGGTGAGTAGAGCATTTCAGAAGATTAAGAAGTATTTTCTCATCTTAATTGTAGGGGATGGCCGGACATGTTACAGTAACATCAGACTACATCTTTATTCTGCTGTAAGGTTCTCTTGCGTTGATGTGTGCCATTAGAAGAAACACTAACAACACGTCAACTCATTTTAGCTATCATAGCAAACACTGAACATACTCATGAAACAGCATAAAAGTTTACAAGTCAGCTGAGCTTTATCACACATGCGTGCACATACATACGAACACCGAGCTATTTTAAACAAAAAAGAAATCTCAAGCACCAAGAAAATGTCAAGGTATTAAACCTGTAACAAAAGAAACTTAGGGCTGATTAAGGTGCACACAGCTATACTTTCAAGTCAAACTTGTGAAGCCAGAGGTAGGAGAAAGAAAGTCTTAACTGTGAGATTTAGACAACAGCAATGTAAGTCTGGTTTTGACTGTTAAATATTCCATTATCAGATCAGAGAGTAGTTAAAAACTTAATAGTTCTGATTCTGAAAAAAGCGCCATTTAGCATGGCGACTGCAGTTTGAATGCTTGTAGCTGTTGCACCTAAACCATTTGAGAAGCCCACCTGTAAATAAAAAAGGTTGAAAAAACCCACAGAATTTGCGTGTGGCCTTTAAAGTAACAAAACCAACTGAAGTCCAAACTTAAAAAGAATTTGACATGCTGGTGGAAGAAAAGAAGGAATTAAAAAAAATAAAGTTAGTGAATTAAAAAAAAATAAATTGTAGCACCAATCTGTGCCAACACGGACATCTGGCAATCTGTGGAATTCTAATTACCTCTTTACGCCATAGGCCATATTAAGCAAATTGTCCAGCCTGAAAAGAGAAGGAGGGTCTTTGGGTTAATGTCTCACAGATGGCAAGATCGCTCAATGGAACTATTATTAATAGCGTTCCATTTTCAAAGAAGAAACGTTCAACAAGTTTCCCACACATCTAAGGAGTCTAACAACTCCCGGCCTGCTTTGTTAAGTCTGAGGTTGTGCTTAAATTTCCACCGCAGCATTTAAAGCTATTTTTAACTTGTCTACAGTCTTAGAGAAAAACCTTCATTTTGAGGGCTTGGTTTTAAAAAAATCTACTTCTGATTTGTCTTTAGACAATATTAGTATAAAATTTTTGTAAATAGTTCAATTGTTCACCTTATATTTACAGTTAACTTGGAAATAAAATGTTACAGTCCAAAATTTCCAGAACTGGAAAAATTCTTGATTCTAACTGCTTTAACATAATACATTCTCCCCACTATATTACATATATTTAGTATTAATCCTCCACAACGTGTCAATCTAATTGACTACCAAATATTGCAGAATATAATCATCTGCTTTCCATGGGAGCACAATAAAGTCCTTCTGTCCATGGAAGGATTCAGTGACAACCTCAATGGACGCAGCTGCGCGCCAAAGACACAAAACCAAATGTAAATTTAATGTATCTGATGATTGACTTTTTATGATCTTTAATTCATTAGCACTTTTCATCACTGAAAAACTAAAATTACTTTTGAATAATTCTCTTAAGCCAGTATGCAACTCAGTTATGTGAATATGTCCAAATTTTCTTTTTTGAAGGCAGACCGAGAACACCATGTATTGCTAACTCCAGCTTACGTATCAGATGGAAACAGTATGTTCAGAATGCAAGGCATAAACATCCCCATATCTGAAGAATCACACCAAAGACTAATACAAGGTCTCTTTATACTAAGAGCAGGTATCTCAGGCTAATAAATTTAATGGTACTGCTGCTGACTGCAACAGACTCAGCTTTTTTCCTGCTACCAACCCACTGTCATTAACATCAAAGTCTAAGCTGCATCAAAACTGTAATAATACAGCAGAAAATAAAAGGATTACCAAAAATAAGAGAAAGAACAGGATAGTCACTGCTCATTCGATTATCAGTGTAACTCTATTCTGTCCTCCCTTCTTCTATGAGCCTTCACAAGATCTCATCGTACAGTACTTCAACTGTTTTAGTAAATACAACATGACTACTGCTGTCAGCAGATTTTCCTCCTCATTCTCCAGGAAAGAATATTTAATTTTACAAAGAAAATCAGGTCAGCCTACGCAACTAAAGCATATTTTCCTGCGCAGCACCTGCCCCACATTGTTGTCACTGGTGGAACTTCAGTTCTTTTCCAGGTAATTACCTGAATCTCTGAGCCTGGTGGTGAAGTGGTCCAGGGTAACGTCTGTTGGGAGACTGATACAGCTGTGAAAGGAGTGCCTGGCTTGTTTTCTGGCTGGGGTTATTGGCAAACTTCACAGTAATTGGTTCTGTAGCACCACTAGGCTTCTGGCCATTTAGTCCCTTTATGGCTTCTTCTGCCTCTATTCTCTTATCAAAACGGATAAATCCCACACCTCGAGAAACCCCTGGGAAGTAAAAACATGGGAACAGATGAGTATTTGTAGCAACAGCCTTATCTATGTAACAAACAAACTGAATGTTGGGGTTTGATTTCATAGAATAGACGGCTTGTAAATTAAGAAGTGTCCTATAAAGAAAAATGCTCTTCCCCATCTGTATTCTCCAAAATCAGCCCCTACCATATTTAATATACCAATTTTAAGTAAACAACATTCTGTATTTTGAGATCCCTCATTAAAGAGGCAGCAGTTATGCCTCCAAACGGTTATGCTCATAAAGAACGAGGCACTGAGTTTTATACTACAAGTCATATTGTCTTAAATCTCAACTGCCAGCAAGCATTTATAATTTTGTCACTTCCAGAAAAACATGCATATATCAAGAAAAGTTTTCTTTTAACCTGTGACTTGATCAACCAGAATCCGTGAGGTGATGATGCGCCCGTATTGTGAGAATAACTGCTCTAATTCTTTCTGGGTCATTGTTTTCGGAAGGCCGCTGACATACAAGTTCGCATCTCTGATCGATGCTGAACTTGGACGGGCATACGACACCTATGGATTGAAGAAAAGGAAAAGCAGATTAGTAAGCTAGAGCCACTCTTTGCATTTTAAAGGGACAGATAATTTTCTGTTCTTTCACAAGCAACAACCCTTCAGTTCAGACATCACCTGTTCTGCAAAACCAACAAAGCCAGGAAAGGCTGGAAGAACAAAGGAAGAGCTAGAGACACCTTAAAAACAGACGCAAAGGTTCTCTAAGTGCAGTCATAAAGTAACTATTGTTCAGAGGTAGATTAACCTGCAACTTCCTACGCACAGCTTTGTAAATTTGCCCCTATGAGTTGTGGGTGTATGGATGATTTACTGTATCCAATGTGTGATAACCTTAGCACATACATAGCACTGAAGTTCCAGCATGTTTTTCTTTTTCCCCTCCTCTCCAAGTGTCTGAAACAGATCAGGTTATTTTCACAGTGATCTTTTGTGCTATCTCTCTTTGTGTTTTCATCCTAAGCTGGCAAGATCTGTTCTGGATGAACAGTAAAGTACTGGTGAAATTAGACTAAATGAACATCTGCTCAGGGAACTGTATACTGACGCTCACTGTCATAGCTGCAATTTATCACAAGAAGTTCCCTTGCACGATAAGCCCAGAACCGGACCATAAAATGTTATAACCAAGCAAACAAAAAAAATCTAGCTGAGGCACTGCATGTACGCTGTTGGAAAATTATTGAAGACTCTCTTAACTGCCCTTCTACCTATGAATCAGATTTATAATTATAATATGGGCATAAAAAGCCTTCTGGACTTTAAAAATAATATATACATTTAGAATATACACATTTAACATAATAAAAATACCTCCTGGATAAAGCCTAATGGCAAGTATTGAGCACAGATCATGAAGAATTTCTTTGCAGCACATTCCGAAATAGCATTGGATCCAAACCTGAATATTCTGCACTTCATCTTGATTTATTTAAATATAAACAGATCAGTACATTCCTGTATTATGTCTTAAAGTGTGTCTTGGAAGAAAATGGGGGAGTCCCATCACAAATACAATCCATTAGGCAACTGTCTTCCCCTCTTCCTGAGCCTTAGCCCAAACACAAGTGATGTCAAATGGATGTCTGTGTTTTGTGTGTCAAAAGAGTTGTCTTTATGTGCTCACACCCAAAAATAGATGTTGACTCAACACAGGAAAATGATGTTAATGACTAATATTTGCTTCCACAATCTTCTCTGCATGATAGCAGACAAACTCTACAGATTCTAAATTTTGAGGTTTTTGGCAACTTCTTTATAACTTATATGTTGGTACATAACCTTTTAAATCTAACATTTACAGAGAAAGCTAGAGAGAGGAGGTGGAAAAATTTAGGGAAA